AAATCACATCGGGCGCACGAAAATGATTCCCGTGACTAATACCCGTGCAAAACTTGTTTCGCTCGATCGTTTCGCAACAACAAAGAGTGGCTGCGAACGTAATCGTGCGATATTTATTTTCCATTGTAACAAGTCACAATAGACGCGGCAGTCAATAATCCGATGTCAAAGCGAGGCGTATGAATTGTGTGTTGATACAAGATTAGATGTGGTGTGTCAAATCTGACACAGATTTACGACTGAGCACTCCATTCACGGGCCCGTCCATTATTTCATTACGCCTAGCCCTTCTCTACTGCGAGTGACGTGGAATAGCATCTGTTCGGCAATTTTCAGTGTTTTTCGCGTGTTACCATTTTAATACCATTCTCAAAAATCTACTTATTCCATCAAAGAACGTCTCATGGTCGCTTTCAGACATTTCAGTTAGAGCTTAGCTACCGTTAAAATCCTTTCTTAGCCAAAAAAGTCTTATAGAATCCAAGACCGATTACGTCCTTATATAACATTACCAACCGAAAATCTTAAACAACCGCGATAGAGAAACAAACTTGATTTGATTCCTTCTACGAAGTTCTCCTTTCGATTTAGCAAGAACTGTGGAGCACCGGACCATGGAACGTTTACACGGTCTCTTTTAAAAATACACACGTTTAAAGGCGGGCCTTCTATTTATCTTTTGTCTCGTGTTTACGAAGCGGTCAAATTTCATCTGCGGCGGCCTCTTTGAGCCGCTCTCTTGTATTATTTTCATTATGTTCGGAAAGCTCCGGATCCGTGTTATTGTTATTCTATCTTTGAGGTGTGGCGGGGGTTTTTTGTTTGCTCTCCGACGTAATTTATTTGGGACTTTCTTGTTTTGCCCCACGTAACGTATAATCCTCTCTGACTGTCAGGTTGCGCCGCCCGCTATGTATTAAATTGAGAAATTGGACTACTGGAATCCTTGGAGACAAGGTTTGCTGACAGTGGATTTGGTTTTATGGTGAGAGACATTGAAATTTTCTAATTTTTGTTTATTTACCCCATATAAAGTTCAATGTTTTGCCAAAGAAATCACTTACAAAGAAATAACAATTGTTTGTATTTCATCGCCCTCTATCATAGGTCCGGTTTGGATGGTATTTATATAGTAAGACGGATCCTACAACCTTTTTTTAACTTCGGTTCAAACTCCTAGGCAACGCACCGCAGTTTCGAATTCCACAGTACTGAATTGTTTTATAACGTTTTCACGTGAGTACAGATTATATATACAACAATACAAATAAAAAATAATATAGAGATAAAATAATTTCAGCAACTATATTGTAAAATAACAACCTAGATATTTATTATCTCATAACTAGGTCTCCTTCGCAGTTAAAATACAGTGTAGTACATTTCGTTTAAAATAATAAATCCTGTTTACTGGATCCAGAATACTACAAATATTACACAATGAATAGAATTTTTTTTTAATCATATTGGAATACAGTACGTTGCGGTTTTTGGACGAACTGATTCCATTTGCAAACATTTTACTGAGATGGTGAGGTTTGTGTGATGTCAAGAAATTGAAAATGTAATTCAAAATCGTTTTAATTTCAATTGATATTTCTCTGAGAATAATCTTTACGAATTCCGATACATTTCATATCATTCCACTCCACTACTTTCGTATTCCTTAATGTCTGACTCGACGGCTACCGGTTTTTAGCTTCTGATTGACGGCTGTCGGCCCCGCTTACAGGCTGCAAAGTTACTCTTACATCACTCCCCGTCCCAAACCACTTACGATAGAGTTAAAAATCGGCTGGCTAAGCGTCCCACCCTTGGAGAGTTGTCGGCATTCGCCGCGGCGCCAGTCGACATGGCCCGATCTCGAATATCATCCACTTATTCATTACTGCCTTCCTATTCTGTTTAATCATAATCTAAATTCTTATGACGCCGGACAAGTTCTGAAGCCGCTATGATGACTGTAAGTTATGTATTACATTATTACTCATCACTAATTAATTGGTGTTCATAAGTATTCGAGCAGCGGTAGGAAGCGATTAAATTGATATAGCGTAAGGTTAGACTGTGTAGTTCTTATATTTATGGTTGAAAATGTCAAAGGTGCTTTACTTGTGATTTATTTCTTTGTTATTGAGTCTGAGATAAATGTAAAACGATAATTAAATATCTTGTGAATGCATAAGAATCCCTTCCTATTTGTTATTCTCCTTAATTGAAACTTTATGACTTAAGGGTTTATAAATAATGCATGACCTAATACAATTAAATATATACGTCTCAAATTTTTTTAAATATTCAAAGGCGGCAAATTATCTAACACTAAACTAAAAAAGCGTACATTGTATCTTAATGAATGCTTATTTGAATCTGAAATAAATCAACGCTCTTGCGAATATTGTACAAACAAAAGAAAATTGCCTCACGCCGGCTCCAAGGTTTTGACTAGTGGGTTTTGTGAACGGAATCGGTTAAAACAATGAGGTATATTAAGAAGCGTAGAAGATTAATGAACTGGGACGTCGTGTAGATAAACACGCTACAATAAGACTTGAGAGAGCGAGTGATGAGTGTCTTGACAGACCGTAGTTTCCGTGCCGTCTTGAAAATTTCCAAGGCAAATTTTATTTTTATCATATTTATTTCTAGTCAATATATACGAATATGAATTGTATATTACGAATTTTGCTCAGTTTAATTTTGCTTTATGTTTTGATTGACGCAGATAAGTCCATCCCAAAATTAAATAATTAAACAATGTGTAATATTCACTTAAATACAAAATATCATTATAAGAGTTAATTGATAAATAAATTAACTTCTGACATTTTATAACCATAAAATTCAACGAATCTTGATCATGAATCATGTAAAGTGCGAACACAATATCTCGTTTACACTCAATGTAAATAGAACAAGAAACTGATATAATATTTCTTAATTCTATTTGTTTCTGCCAACGCAAAATGATTAAGTACTGCATTAGTACTGCAAAAATTAAAAACAATCAATAACAAAACCATTGCATATAGAACTCTAAATTAACTCAAAACAAGTTGTTTTGATTGTAACATGTTAGTCAACCAACTCGCGATACTCCAAAGCTTTGCTAAAAAATATTGTAAAGAATACCGTAAAAAAGTGAATAGTTTACTGATATAATAACTTCTCTGATTCCGGATTCGTGTTTTTGATATAGTAAACGACTAAATTAAAAAAGAACACATTGTCGTAAAGTCTGGAAAATTGTGTTAGAGTAAACTTCGCTTGATGTAAAACCTTGATTTCCAACCAGGAATTGGCATTAAGATATTCGACTCCTAGAAACGACAAAATTTAACGACATAAACAAATAAACGAGAACTTGCAATCGACCGTGCAGAACGAATTGAATCATATAAGAGCAACCAATGTTGATCTTAGACGGCGGCATTGGGCCAACAATGCTAATTATTCATCATTAGCGTAGAACGGGGTCAGCCGAATGATGTATAACGGGTAGCGTCAATGCATCATCGTTATATGTAGGCCTGACACTTATGTCGTCTTAGATTCATTTTTTATCTATACAGATAAATAAAGTTTTGAGTCTGTTTGTAATATTAAAATAACCGCTTTTTACTAAATGCATATGGATGTATGCAAGTTACATATACCAAAATAACATTTTTTACAATTTTTGTCTGTCTGTCTGTCTGTTTGTTCCGACTAATCTCTGAAACGGCTGGAGCGATTTGGACGGGAATTTCACTGACAGATAGCTTATGTAGTAAGGAGTGACTTAGGCTTAGATTATTTCAGATTTTTTTTTTTATTTTAAGTCGCGGGCACAGCTAACTCTTAATAAAAAAAATATCTTTCAAATTCTTGTCGTCATAGATGTACGCTATGAGAAACGTTTTTAAGGGATTTTGCTCCTTTTATGGGGGCATTTTTAAATTAAATCTTAAATATTTTTTTCTTTCTTAATGATTTGCGATTTTATTTAATGATTATTTAATCCCAATCATTTACATATAATTTGAAAACTCTACAATACTCTTTTCAACTTTATTATAAGTTATAGCTTATTAATTATGCTTGTGACTGTTTTTCTTCTTGCACTACTTCCAGGGCATTCAAACTAATTGTCGCCCCTGAGCAGTTAAAAAACCTGCTTCATTATCGAAATTTTTCATAAAATGGAAAGCTTCGACATAAAATTATTAAATTATTTAAAATAATAGATGAAAACAAGTTATATGTTTTCAACTATCGATTTTTTAAAGTACTTTTTTACCCTACGAATATTGCCGCCTGATAATTTGCACCGATTAGCCCTAATATAAATCCAGCGTATATTTCCTTAAATGTGAATGATCTTGTTAATATTTCGAAAGAATTATATTATAAATCATTATAGTAAGTTTGATTCAAAGCTGGAACTCCTAACTCACCGACCCGCCAGCAAGCTCCTCAGGTGACGTGACAACACGCCCAATAATTACAAATTCCAATGGAAGAAACATAAAAATTCTCGTTAAACTCAAATCCATTGTAATTAGATTATTATGCCGGCCATAAACAAGCATTCCCAACGCAGCTGTCAGCTTGTCTGAGCGACGCAAGACATAACTAGTTTTAATGATTGCCCGTACAAAAAATCGCCACGAACTGGCGAGTAGGTACGAACGGCTTGTTACGTGTCCGCATCGGAAACTGTCCGTTTAATTGACGGCTCATACGTCTGTCATGTGCGGTCGGGCGGTTTTGAATTCTTGAAAAGTTAAATCAATTATACAATCAATCAAGTGTGGAGTATCGGCGCGAAGGTGTTGCTTTTCGCACGGCTAATAATGATCGTCGAATAAGCGCCCACGGTGGAAGGAACGGCTGCGCCTAAATCGGTTTGATTTGAAATTTATTAGTCGCGATCTTAAGTGCACTTTCGATGAAATCAACTGACGGACAATAAGACAGCGGTCGTTAAAGGAGGTCGAAAAGCCTTTACCATTTAATCGATGATAAACCCCGTGAAGGTGCCTCGAAATTGGCCGGTGTTCCGTTTGAGGGGAATTTCACTCGCGTCGGTCATTTCACGCAACTTTAGCGTTAATTCCACTCGAGCTATCACCCGAGTGCAGTTTAAATTTACAGCGAGAGGGATTCCCATTGCATTGAGGTTCCACAGGTTGCCTGTCGATTTTACAACGTGCGATCCGTATTTATACGAAACGAAATATAAAATCGTTCGGGTAATCAAACGTCTGTCGTATATTAAGGCGGCTGGTTTACGACTTTGAATTTATGGTCGATTTATTCCCCCGTATACATGTGCGAAGTAGTAAATCTTAAAGGCGGAACTTATGAAATTGACACGTTCCATTGAATGCACCGCTCTAACGTTCAAACTGCCTGTACTGTGTGCCGAGTGCTATTTATCATATTTCGAGAATGTATTCCAGGATATGACATTCTACATTTTCTATATTTCTTACTTATAGATTTATAGAGAGTAGACACGCATAGATATTTCACACTTTAACTCCTCAAGACGCGCTGACCAATTTCAAAATTCACCGTCAGCAACAGCAGTTTTTGGATATTACTGGCTTTCAAGAGTTACTTATTCATTAAATCAGTATTATGTGTTGCAGTAGAAGATTAAGATAAGCTGCCATATCTCGGAAAAAATCGTACCAATAGTGGACCATTGCACGGTTTGTTATTAGTAGTATTAATAGGTATCCAATTCTGTAAGGTGGATATTAATGTAACAAGGAGAGAGTACAGCTAGAATTCCTCTAAGCTAGTTTCACGATTTGTTTACTCTCAATCGTATACTAGTTAGTTCATAGTAAAAACAAAAATCTATAACTTTGGTTCTAAGCTAATAAACTATTGCATTTATATTACTACATCGATGTTGATGTATTATTGATTGTTTATTATTCAAAGTTTTTAATAATTATCAATAGTTTTGAACAGAATAGTGACATCAAACGCAGTCTGAATAGACTACAATTCATTGCAACGCTTATGCATGAGGCAACATCTGTATGGTTGCCGTGCAAGATTTTACTACCTCTAGCCGCCTCTCGCCGCAGTGTGCTTTTCCCGGGAAACGCATGCTACGATTCGTTGATCGGATTCCCTTGAAGTTCGCACGACGTCGGATAATGGCGGTTCTAAATTCAAATCGTTGAATTTCTCAGAGGGCCGAACGCAATCCGATTCCATGGCCGCCATTAATATTCATTTCGCAATAGAATCGTTTTAAAAGCGCAATTCGAATTCCCCTATAGACGGGCGCTGAATCCATTATTCATCGGCAGCGCTTTCTTGCTGCGGCCCCCTTACTTAGTATCGGACAATCTGAAACGGGACTGGCTGCCGATAGAGCCAGCCACGCGGCCCGTCGTCCAATTTGCTGACAGTGTTCGCTTAACTTGATCTGGTGTTTTCGCTTTCAGGTCAATGTTTTCGCCTTCAGGTCAAAGGACTGCGTAAAGCTTAACCGGATAACAGGATTTGTCTGTACAAAAGTAGGTGGTAAATACTAAATGCTTCACTGTATGTTAGTGGGTCAATTGTCCCACTGATCTAGAACACCAGTTTGCAATCGCAAGTGCTATTGCGGCTTTTAAACGTTCTCCGGTTACTAACGGACGAAACGCTGAAACGTGCTTACGTTACGTTCAGGAGTACTACTACTTCAAACTAGCCTTCTATGAGGTACACTTGGGCAGCCAATTCTATTGGTCTTCATTAGCATCATCTCACCAGATTATCTCTCTTTTGTTTTAGAGGTGTCAGTTTGTGAAACACCTAAACTGCAGTTGAGTTGCAATTTTCTAAGATGAAGAATATTTGAAGACCCGATTGGCATAGGCGGTAAAACCTGCCTCTTGCGCCAGGGGGTGTGGGTTCGAACCCCACTCCTGAAAATATATTGTGTGATGTACATAGTGTTTTTCCACTGTCTGGGTGTTTATATGTGTATTAAATGTATTTATTTACAAATGAAAAGTATGTATATCAGTTATATAGAACTCATAATATGAGCCTTTCTATATTTGGGACTAGAGAAAACGTGTTCTAAAATATTTTATTACTAGCGACCCGCCCCGGCTTCACAGGGGTGCAATGTATTGTACATATAAACCATCCTTTTGAATCACTCTATCTAGGAAAAACAAACCGCATCAAGATCCGTTGCGCAGTTTTAAAGATCTAAGCATACATAGGGACAGACAGACAGCGGGACGGCTTTGTTTTATACTATGTAGTGATTTATTGTTTATTTCTCACATTTTGTTTTCTTAATTTTTATAAAAGCAATATTAACGTCAAGTCTTGATTTGTAAACTTTTGTGTCATGTAATTACGTTTCAAGAAGTGTAAGAAAATCATTAAATTTAAGAAAATACTTGGTAACAAAAAGAAACAATATGGATTTCCCCATCGGTGATATTTATTCCATGAGCAATTATTCAAATAAATATTCGAGTAACAAAAAGAACAAAACCGGCCAAATGCGAGTCGGACTGGCGCAGGAAGGGTTCCGTACCATTATCTATAAAAACGGTAAAAAAAATCATGTCAGTTGTATGGGAGCCCCACTTAAAATTCGTTTTATTCTATTTTGTATTTGTTGTTATAGTGGCAACAGAAATACACCATCTGTGAAAATTTCAACTGTCTAACGATGACGGTTCACGAGATACAGCCTGGTGACAAACGGACAGACAGACAGTGGAGTCTTAGTAATAGGGTCGCGTTTTACCCTTTGGGTACGGAACACTAAAAATACCAATAAAGTATTTTATCTATTATTGCCTAAGGTTTTTATATAGTAAATTATTCTCGACCATAAATGCGTTGTGTTGTATAAATATTTTTTAGCGTTTGCTCATACGTCCATTAGTCAATAGAGAACGGGTGGAATATTTTTTCGCGTCGGAATTAATTAATGTTGCTTAGTCACGCACCGAGTGAATCAATCTTCATATAGTTTTTTATTGCTGCACGTAAATTTTTAATAAGCTCTTTCATATTATATCTAATGAGCTATTAATAGCTTAAACAATAAATTACCCCATTCATAAAAACGAAACTGAGGCTTGTGCCGAATTAAAAGTAGATCTATCTATTAAAAGTAGATGTGATCAAAATATTAGCTGCCTTTTTAGTACACAAATTTAATTTATTCGCAAAGAACATAACATATCGATTATTTTTTACAGCTAGTGTTTGACTCAATAAATATTGACGGTAGTTAAGTAATCGGCGATCGGTATTCCAATAAAAAAAGATTTATTTAATTAATTACAAGGTGTTAACTGTATGACAATTTGGAATGGACTGATTTATAATTACAAAAACTTATGAACTAAAAAACTAATGGTGTCAGCGTTCCTTCGATGCGCCTTCGCCGTGCTGAGTCTGCAGTAATCGCGGTTATGACGTGCTAACTCCTCCCTCCTTAAGATAGAAGCGAGAGTTGGAGCTTCTAGCAGCGTCCTCGCTGCTGTTGCTATCCTGTGGTAGTCTATTGGTTTTCCACTTGTACAGCTTCCAGATGGCCGCTACACTCAGCAGCCCGTATAGTATTAAAGTTGTCCAGCTGGGGGTTGCCATCAGGGTTGTCCAGTTGGATTCATCTTGTGGGATTATGTCATCTATCTTGTTGATGAGTTTGTGGATGCTGTCTAATGAGATATCCTCTTGATGTAATTCGAACTTGATGTGTTCTTGCGTGATTTGCTGTGCCTCAGGAAGGGGGATGGTTTCGTCGTTGAAGACTGTTCTCAGGTGGGTCTGTAGTGTGCTATTCAGGACATGCATCCGACAATCTTCAGTGAGTGTGACTATGAACGTTCCTTTCGTCTTTTTGTAGTCTGTCTTGGTGCCACACTGGATTTTGATAATTTCATCATCTTGCAGGATCAGTATCCAGCTGTTATCCCGGATTTTCTGGATTTTTCCTTTGGTCAGGTGCAGCTTGGCATACGTGCAATTGGCTTTCTGATGTTGAACTAGCGACGCTATGCAATCTTGTGTGTTTTTCATTCTTCTGACTTCCAGGGATTTGCAGAGATGAGTGTCATCGGTGATTGGTTGGCAGTCTTCTTCCTCGATGTGGGCGTACTCATCGCTACCAAGTGCAAGGTATTTGGACTTCGGGATTATAGTTAGGTTGTTGCGGTCAGGAATGGAGTAAAGGTGAATAAAATCGTATATTTTTGAATCAACAGAGGGGATTTCCAGGATAAAGTTTATTGAGTATGGTGTACTATATGCTTTAACCTTTATAGATTTCTCTATCTTATGTATATTTATAATATTTATCTCATCTACTGGATTCATTGAATAATGATTACGCAAAATTACTAATTCTTTAATAAGATTTTGTGGACCAATAACGCTTGGATGCATAGTTCCTAATTGAGCGAACGTGACGGCATCTTCCAAAGTCATTAACTTTTCTAAAATTATTTGTAAACTTAAGTCTATCTGTAAATATATATCTAATAAATGTAAACTGTCCCTAATTCCATTAGAGTTTTGCGTTATATTTTGTAATATCTTAACTGCATATTTCTGATTTTCCTCTAATTTACTTATTTGACTGCCGAATTCATTGATCATACTTTTTGCTAATATTAAGGATTTCTTTTGTGAATTTTGAACTATATTAACCTTTTTACTTATATCTGAAATTTCTTTCTCGAATTTAACAGCATCGTCATTATCTAAGTTGCCGGTTATTGTTTTTTACGATTGTACCTAATCCGTTTATTATTCCACGCTTTACTCTAACTGGGGGAATCAAATATGCTAACTTCTTGTTTATTAAACTTATACTATATAATATTTGATCCTCGTAGGACTTATATCTATAACTAGATGTTAGGGTATTTTCAACATCTTTAGTGCTTGCATATAATGCCATTACTTTAATTGTTGCTAACTTTATGTTTTTTATGTTATACACACAAGCTAGGCTAAAGTAGTCGGTCTGTCTAAGTAACTGTCCCTGTTTGAGTAATAATATGCCATTATCGTTACTAATGGGATCAAGGGTCACTTTTGCGGTTGCGTAGAGCACGATGGCTCCTGCGACGATGATCCTGGAACAAGATGAGGCCTACGTAGTAGCTTGAAGTGAACTCTTATAGACTTTGAATTTGGGTGACTACCTATGATCTCTGCGATACTATTGGGGTGTAGATGGATTACCTTATAGGGTCCTTTGAAGACAGGCTTCGTCTTGTCATTCCGCGCTGTCTCTTGCTACCTGCTTATAAACTATTTCACCTACCTTGAATGATACTTCTTCGGCATCTCGGTTTCGTCTTGCGATAACCTGTTCTTTATTACCGGACATGTAAGCTGCAAACACATTCCTGTATCGCTTCTGCGTTTGTTCTGTGTTTGAGTACATAATCCTGGTAGATTTCCTTGGGGAAAAACATTTCTAATGGGTTTCGAGATGCTGTGTGACCAAATAGTAGTTCATGTGGTGTATAGCCTGTTGCGGAATGTATCGCGTTATTATATCCTATGATCGCGTATTTCATAATAGATTGAATAGGATCTTCTTTGTTAGTCATTCTTTGTATACGGATAATCTCGCCTAACGTAGAATGTAGACGTTCTACTGGAGAATTAGAGTTCGGGTTGTATGGGGTGGTAAAATGTATGTTAATGTCATGTAACGCGCAGATCTCTTTAATAACATCGTTATCGAATTTACTATCTGAGTCGGTTGTAATTTTATGGGGTAGGCCTAGTACAGATATGACTTGCAGAAGTGCTTCGGCTACATGCACACTACTACATGCGTTTAATGGTACCGCTTGAGCATATTTTGAGAAATTATCAATTATTGTTAGAAATGTTCCACCGCCTGTCGAATACAAGTCCATAAATAGATGTTCCATAGGTTTTCGGGGTGTTTCTGTGAGGGCTAATGGAGGTCTTAGTGGGTTCCGTTCGTACTTTGATTTTAGGCATATATCACATTCGTTTATGTATCTCTGGATGGTTAATAGCATATGCGGCCAATGGTAGTTCCGATGAACTTGTTTGTAAGTCTCCTGAATACCACGGTGAACTGTTTTGCCTTCGTGATATTTTTTAATTAGCTCTAACTGCTCGGCTTTACTCTCTACTAGCGTTACACGTGACGTACATTTGATGAGTTTGGGGCCTCTATTATTAAATACGGTAGTATAAACTCTCGAAAAAGCTAAGTATAAATTTTCGTCATAGAAATAGCAATGAAACGTCCGGTCTGCTATGGTATGTTCCTTGAGGAATTTAATAATTTCTTGTTCCGTATTGTTGATAGGGATGAATACGTCTTTAATTACAGTTCGCGAATTTGTAGACCTGTCGTCTACTCTGTACGTAGAACCTGGTGTTGATCGTACGTGAAATTGCTT